TTGCTTCAGCTTCTCCATCCTTACCCCTCTCCTAATAATTCTTCCTGTTAGTAGATGTCAACTCCAAGGATTCTGAAGTTCATTTTGAAGGTGTGGAGTTCATATCACACTTACATGAAATTACTTTAATGTAAAAGTTAAGATAAACATTCAGAAGGAGTTGCTGTTCTCCTAAAAAGACTTGTGAGTTTGTGGCATACCCTTAATTGAAATATATGCTGTGTTCTTAAATACTTGCTGTGCCTACTTGTGGCATAGCAGGGCCATTCTTCTTCTGACAAGAAGAATAAAGGAAAAAAAATGAATTAAAACATCAAGGGATATGAATTTCCATTGAGCTTGGCATGAAAGGCTAAGCAAGTTGCTTCCCTTCCCAACTCATTTTCCTTTCAGTGGGTTCAGAACTACCAAGAACTGATGATCAGGTCACCAAGAAATGACCACTGTAGCATCTTTCTTTGGGCTGATTGTCCTCATGAGGCCCCCACATTCATCTGAGAGTTCTCACTGTTATTTCACTTCGTGATGTCGTCCCTGAGCTCCCACAGGAGTTGGGTTTGGCATCTGTTACACTGAGTTTTCCCATAAAATGTCTGTCCATCCTGTTCATGTCTCATGTCCTGGATTTGACAGCTGCAATAATTGGTTTGATTCATTCACTGGAGCACAGGCAGAGCAGGGGCTGTGATGTCCCTTGTCAATATTTCAGCACACACACCTACACTCACTCCATGCTCAAGGTTTTCCCTCCTCAGCAGAACAGGAAAGAATTCACAATATGCCACTTTGTTAATGACAGGATGTCTTTTAAGCAGCACAGTGATTATATATTATTATGATTATGCAAATTCTTTTCTTTCCAGTCTGACTGAGCCTGTATTAAATTTGTTTCTCAGGCCCAGCACCCATAAACACAGGACAAATGGTGTTTTCTTGTAAAAGTATTTTTATGTCAACCCATATTCTTTACCAGCACCCCTTGGATTTTCTCTTATTTTCTGAAAACTGACTTTGAGCAAAGGATGTTGACAATTCCCTGAGCCCAATCCTTCTGGAGTAGAATTGTCCTAAGGGTGGTGCATTATTCATGGTTTTCATCTTCAAACCCACTGCTTTGCTCACAAAAACATATGACTCATTCTGAAGAGAATAAAAGAAGGCTGCCTGTAAAAAGTCCCATCCTCCAGACACATCTCTGATGATGATGTGCGAAAAATTAGACTGTTACATCCACAGGGTGAGGACTTCTTCTTGTTTGTTCTGAAAAGCACCTAACAGACCCTGGTTATGATGCAAATTATGAAACAATTGTAATTGAAAAACCTGATGTACTCAGGAACACTGGCTGACACAGCCACATATGAAAAGAAGATACTGGCTGCCAACTTTGGAGTGCCCAGCACAGGAGACCCTGCAAAAGAATACTCTGTCAGGGGCAGAAAAGCCACGAATGAGACTGTCTGTGGAAGAACAGAAGCTTCTAAGGGTCACCTGCTACTTCCCTTGAACACCTCTCCTGGCATCCCCCTTGCAAATGCACCTCCTTCCTTGCTCCACAATCCAACTTCCAAAGCCTGTTCTAACTTTTTTTGGGAAAAAAGAGAAGAGATTCTTTCCAGTCTGTGCTAGAAAGGGAATCCTCACAGTCCAGTCAAGGCAAATAAGCAATTTTTTTGTAACTAGGCTTTTATTGCAGGCAGGTATTATCTATAAACCTGTCAACCCATCAGGGAGTGATGTAAAATCCTCGATTCTCTACACACTGGAGAGATTTTCTTCTACTTGCAGTCCTCATTACACCTCAGAGTCCCTCAAAAAGCTGAGTTAAAGAGAACACTGTGCCAGAACCAGAGCAGGCCATGTTTGGTGACAGTGAGCTGCTGATTCATCCTCAGATGGAGGTTACAGAAAACACAGGAATCTGGTGCCAGACTTTGGTGCCCTGTCCCTCATCCTTTCACAGTGATGCCCACTGAGGTGCACAGACCTGTCAGATGTACCTGCACCTCCATGCTGGGCCTTGGGGGAGAGAAACTGGAGATTAATCATGTCCCAGAGCACAGTAACTGGGAGCCCTTCCACTGCCTAGACATGCAGCATGTTCATATCTTGCACGGGGGGTGAGGGAGTTGGGATGGAAAGATGCTTCTGCTTTCTTTTTCTGGGAACATTACAGGGATTTGCTGGCTCCTGTTAAGGCTACACTTTGTGATGGGTTTAGTCTAAGCCCTGGGAAGGATAAATAATACCAATAACAGCAATCAATAAAATGGTCTCTGGCACTGTGATTTCCTAACCATTAAACCAGACTGTAACATACCCATCTGTGCAGTAATAAATACTATTACATACTTAAACTTTACATGTTTACAGCCAAAGATTGACATCAGTGTAAATTATGGCTCTGTAAAGCACACCAGAAAACCAGAGTCCTGGGGCTTCAGACTCCAAACATGAAGGCAATCCCCAGCTAAAACTGAGGGACAGATGTGTCAGCAGTGGAAAATCTGCAAACTTCACCCCAGAGCCGACACCAGAGAGGGCTCCAAATTTCATAATCTTAATTTATAGCCTCTAGCCCTGAGTTTAAGTACCAGATTAGCTTTCTCCTAACTCTAACCCCAGATAAGTCCCCAGATAACATATATATTGATGTGCTGAATTGTTAAATCCTTGAAACCTAAATCCAGTCTTCTTTATAGCCAGAGGTTAATCCTTCTATAAAAGTAAAACATGTGGCTTTGGGTCATGTCTGCCCACATTTTTTGGTTCTTAAAGGTGTAGATGCCTAAATAGTACCTCCAGCTCACATCCTCAGGCAAACCTCAATTACAAGAACAAAGCCAGTCTCTGCAGGGAGTGAGGGACATGGGAAGCAACAGAAACACACAAATATCTGAAAATATAGATTGAAACATAAACTGAACATTAATGAAATACACTGATGTGCTATTAGTAAGCATATAGTGAATGTAGTCATAAATCTTAATAGAATGGACCCCTGAGTTTTCCTTTGGATATGAATTTCTCCAGTAACACAGAATATAAGATCTTCATCAGTCCTCAGCCCTCCTTTTAACGTCTTAATGCCTGAGCTTCAACATGAGAAGCCCTAACTCTGAGCCCAAATAAATGCTTAGTAAATCAGTATATTGATCAATCCCTAAAGGGGTCCTGCCAGATCCCTCCCTAAAACTGGACACCACAAAGTTGAATGACTAGTCCTATAATCTAACTTTCATTCAAGTCATAAACCTAATTTGAAGTCTAGAAGGGGGATGAATCATTTAAACAGAAAAGCTGCCAGCCCCCTTTTAACTCTTGGGACTTTTAAAATGTCAAGAGCTCTTGAAGACTCATCTTTCCAAAGCTTGACCTTGACCCCAGCCTCAAGAAGGGATATGGGGACTAATTGAGATCCCAAATCCGGACAGCTGTTAATGATGGTTGTCCATGCTGTGAAGGAGAATTTTTAGGAGAGGTAAAGAACTTCACTCCCTACCAGAAGGGAGCTCCTTCCATCCATGCTCCCTGCTACCTGCGCCCCTGAGAAACAGCTAATTAAGTGGACATTCAGTTTGAGATTTCTAAAATCTACTGCTCTGTTCTAACCTCAGACTTAATTATAGACAAACAGAGGCCAGTATCTCCTGATATAGCAGAAAGGTATTTGGATGGTAAACAACTTAAATTGGGGTTTTTAATTTCTTTTTGCCTCATTATTGCCTCAGCAGATCAGCTCAAGGATCCTGCCTTTGCTGCAGATCACTCCTGTTTCAGATCAGCACTGCACAGTGTCTGATGGACCACAGCCTTGCTGAATAATTGGCATTCCTCATTTTATTTGGTGGCAGAAAATTCCTGCTATATTCAAACTGCAAACAGGTTGCTGAGCCTCAGTGCCCTGCTTTGAGCTGGGCAGTCACGCTGTGCTTGTGCAACTCTGGTGGGAGGATCGAGAAGAAAACTGATTTCTCAGAGGCAGAGTTCACTTTGAAAGCACTTAAAAGAGAATACAACTATTTCAAAGGTCACTGAAGCTGAAGGGGAAATGAGAATTTTTCCATGTCTTAAATACCTTTAGCTTTGCCAAAGGAAAGGGGATTTATCATGCTGAGACAATTCACTCTGCCAAACACCCAGGCAACCCTTGTTCACTGTAGGTGTCTTTTAAACAACAGAATCCTAATAGGCAGAAGAACTGAACATTTCAGACTTCTGTAAACTCATGAATGATCAAACCTAGGTGTTTTTCAATAAGAAAAAAAGCAGCTTCCACAAGCCTCTGGCAGCTTTACCCAAAGCTTTCTCCACTACCATTAATATACAGTATTCAACACTGCCAAGAGAGATTTTTGTACATTAACTTATTATTTAACCTCTGAGACCTTCCTGTTGAATTCACACCAGAAGTTACTGTTCAGTTCTCACTCTGAAGTCAAGCAACAGCAGCAAAGTTCCAATAAAGAAAAAAAATTAATCTTCTCAGAGCTCTGTACATTAAAATTAAAATTAATCTACATTAAAATTGCACATGATGTACAATTATACTGACCCAGAAAGGTTTTCCCCCTTGAATATACACATTTAAACAGACAGTTTTTCCTTAAATATGTACAGAATGAAAGCTTGAAAATGTGTTAAAAGGATTATTTATAGTAGCCTGAGTGTGATGTCTAAGAAAGATGATTCTTCATGTTACAAGAAAATTACTTCATACCAAGTCTGAAAAAAACCCTGTCTGACACCTTTTCACTGCTATTTTGCCAAACTGAGGGTGTTATTTGTCAGCCATATAAAAAGTGATGACTCTTTCTGGGAGTCTCTAACTGTCCCCAAGGGGTAATGAAGTAACTAATCTGAAAGAATTTGCTGCACCTTTTATTCACAAATTCACAAATTAGCCTGTGCTAATTCAGCTACTACTGTTTAACTGAGAAATCTTGTTTAACTCCTTGTTTCTTATGTTATAAAGAGACATATAAAATTCATGCTCTTACCTTTCTCATGTTCATTTTCTCTATTCTTCTTATTCTCTGCCATCCTTCACATTAATCAAATCTTGTATGATTTTTTTTTCTTCCTATAGTTAAATTTGATTTTCTTCCAGCTATGATTCAGCAGAATTAGCCCATACACTGTATGAGAAAAAGAGAACAAACAAAGTGGAATGTTCTTCATTTAGTGAGACATTTTTAAGAAACAGTAGTCACTTTTTGTCAGGCTATCTGGATCCAAAGCAAACCCCATTTTACCAGGCCCAAATTAGGAGAGGAATGATTCCTATAGTGGGAAAGGAAGAGAAGCTGAATATTTCCTGTTTAGTAAGGTCTTGTTCTGCCAGACATCCTCCAAAAGATTTTCCCCTGTAACTTTCTGTCACTGAAATCTGCCCTGTTGTATGAATCAGAGCACAGATTCCATATAGAATGAGACTCCAGTCTAGCTCAGATAAATCCATGCTCTAGCTTTGGGATGCAAACCTTTAAAATTCTCTTAGGGGAACTCATTAGGGCCCACTGAGAAATATTATGACAGCAATAAAGTGATGGTTGTAGGGCCAAGGCTCCAGACAAGTCCAGTTCCATACATCCTCCTGCTCTTCAAGATCCTCAGTAATATCTGCAGCTGGACTGAATTGAAAGGTTCTTCTGGAATAAAAACAGTTCTCCTACTGATTTTGGTAGTACTATAAAAATATCCCAAACATGCAGATTCTATCCTTCATCTCCCACTCACTGTGATGGGCTCACCTGGTATCTCTGAGAGGACAAATGTGTTTCCTGAGTCTGATTTTTCCTCTACTTCTTGCTATTATACAACTCCCTGAATTTTTAGGGATTGTAAATACAATAAATCTATATTTACATCAACTGGATGATGCATGTGACCATCTGACCCTTATTACAGCAGCTTGCTACCACAGAACTCATTGCAATGCTACTTCTACTCATAAATCAAAGAAAAGCAATGGTGTTAATATTCCTTGGTCTGAAAAGTCGCTATATTTAAGTGCTCTTCAAAATTTACTTTTTTTTTTGTTACAATTAAATCAATTAAATAAAATATGGCACTACAATGCAGCCAGTTGTGCATGTATAAAACAGCCAACTGTAGAAGGCAACACAAGGAAGCATCTTAGATCAATCAGCAGTTGTCCCAGAAAAACCTATTGCCATCCCATGCCCTTCCCACATTAGGGCTTCTACCTCCTCTACATCATTCTCTTCTCTTGCCCCTTCAAGACCATAACCCTGAAAATGTGTCAGTCCTTCCTGCAAGACCAAAAATTATCTGTGATTCTTGATAGTTTTTCTTAGTAACTCATTAAATGACGCTTCCAGCACTCTCATTTAACTTGCAGTTACATCCCTGCTATGACTCCTGCAAAGTTAAAGATGAAAGGTTCATTACTCAGTGAATGTTTAACAGGCCAACACTACTCCAGCTACCTCTTCTCTTCCCTTTCCTCAGCTCAGTTTCTCTGTATCACTTCTGGGACACCCCAGCAGATCTCACAGCCAACTGAACCCCAACAGGGATTCAGAGCACTCCAAGGTAACTTAGTTTTCACAGGAAAATTAAGGGATATTTTGAGGATACTGATGGGTTCACAGTGGGGATCAGTGATGGGACTGAAAAAGCAATAGGGTCTCTGTCAGACCAGACCCACATTATCCCTACAACTGTTTTCTGGGATTTCACTGGCACACATTTTCCATGTGATCCCAGTGCACATGAACACCCCCCAAAGCCACCATCATAAATGGGACTGACCAATGTGCTTTGGAAAAAGCCCAGGCCTGAAAAGGCACAGCCAAGTCATGGGCCTCAATTTAAGGAATGTTAGTCCAGAAATCAAAAATAACAGCAATAGGACTGTAACTGGGATGATCTCAGGACACAAACAGAGCAGGGGTTGTAAGGAAAGGTTTCTTTTCTACCCTTTTCTTTTGAAAAATGCAATCAGCTACTGAAGTTGGGAAATACAGGTGAGATAGCTGAAGCAATGAAATCAGATGAAAAACAGGGTTCTCTCTTTCTGGTTGGAGTGACTAAGCACAGTATTAGGTCCCTTGTGCTACTTCAAGACAAATTAAAATGCTGGTGAAGCCATGCATCCTTATTTACTCATCAGGAATGTAATGAGTCCTGTTTCCCGAAATGCAGCTGAAATCAAAATAAGGAAATGGGACATTTTTTGCTTTCCCTATTTCATAGCTCTGTTTCAGATGGAGCTCAACCCACAAATGGTTGGGATGTGTCCCCACCTGCCCCTGCTCCACTGTTCCTCTCAAGGCCCTTCTCCCTGGCACACTAACCTTGGCACAACGGCAGTGAGCACACTCTGCCCAGCACCAGTGCCCTGAGAGTATTTCTTACCACCTCCCAGAATCCATAAGAATAATTTAAAGCAGGATTTCAAAGTCTATGCCTGAAAACAAAGGGGAGAGCAGCAGAAGCTGGTCAGGATCCAGCCCCATCTGACTGTGTCTGACCACACTCTGTGCAGTGCCTGCAAAGGCACCACCTCAATGCTGCTTTGACACTGCAATTTAAACTTAAGTGCTGCTCACTTCCCGTTGATCCACTCATGGAATTATTGTCACTTAAAATTTGCAACCCCATGTCACCTCTAACAACCAAAAAAACTTAATCAACAAGAGAAATGAACCAATACCACCCTATCAAAATGAAGGTATCCATAACACAATAAATGAAGCAGCCAGTCACAACTACCCATATTTCAAGTTGTGTATGGACCTAATTGTCCTCGGATGACTTGAGTCCTGGTGTGTTAACAGAATACTTTTGATGTTCTGTCACTTTTTATTTACTACTTTGTACAGATATTTTCACCCCAGGTAGCCAGCCAGTATTAACTGGGGCTCACAGTAGCACCAGCTCTGGAATGATGGAAGAGACAAGAAGTCTCCTCCATATCATGGATATCAAAGCAAGGATATGCTCAGTAATGTAGTCATAAATGATTTGCTTTATCAGATTACAAATTAATTAAGTTATAAGCATTTCAGTACTTTTCTAGGAAAGCCATCTCATCATGTTGATCCTATTCATCTCCTCTAAACAGTACTTCTTCTCCAGGCTTTAAATACCTATAGACAGGCACCTTTCTTCTCAAACCTGGTGTTCTTTATCAAGCTTACACTCAGCCCCACTAAAGACAGCACTGCAACTCTTATTATAAAACATGTAATATACATTTATTTATATATTGCCTTGAACAAACTCCATGAAATCTCAGAGTCTCCCCTTTCCCACAAAGTAGAGCAATAAGTACTCCATTAAGCACACAATGCAGAAAGGCTGAATGAAACTGCCTCTATTGTGATAACACAAAATTAGAAAGAAAATCTAGCATAAAAACCCTAAAGCTGCACAGTCATTGGACCCAGTGAGGGACACATTCAAGCACATGCCTGAACCCACTCCTGTTCAGAGGTGTCTTCTTTACTTTCCTTAAGAGATCTGTGCTCATTTTAACTCCTTTCCTCAGTTGGGATAGGATAGATAACAGATATTATGCCATATCTATTATTTTGGGCTAACAGAACTATTTGGGATTCAAGTAATATTATAAGACAGAAATATGGAAGTTCTCAGGCCTGTAGTGCAGTTTCTCATACAGTTTCTCTCCCAGGTCCTGAGAGTCAGGACCATTAAAGGTTTCAATTAAAACCTCCTTTAGCTCTGGGAGTTACAAAGAACCACTTCCAGTATCCTTGATCTGGAACCAATAAACACAAAGACCATTGAAACAATTTAAGGCTCTTTCATTCATTTTTGATGTGTTACGTGTCACACATTCAATAAATGTGAGATTTGACTAAATTCTTTGATTTCTAGCCAACACCTTGGCAACATTTCCACTCAGTTCAGGGAAAAGCACTACATATTCAGTGTAGGATTGGTGAGTTACTTCTGTCTGTATGAATTAGCTCCCACAGCTTTTTGGAGAAGATACACCATCAGTAGCAGATAAAGCTGCACAATTTCAGGCTACTGTCACCTAAGCTCTGTGTGACAGGAAAGAAAAAACCCTCAGCACTGGCCTGGGATAATTTTTTATTGCTCTGCAATACGCTCTGAGTCCTTCCAGCTGAATTCAGGACAATTTGTTCACTTCACTCGGTAATCAAAATGTGTTTTGACTAGTAAGTCCCTATTTAGTTTTTTCTGTAATCGTTTTTCTTAATGGGAGTATTTTCCAGATGTTGTGCTAGTCCAGTCATCCAGGACCTCTTCCAACTCCTGTGGAAAGTTTGCTGTCATAAGCTGTCATCAGCGGTTGGGTTTAATTTGTCTAATTACTGACCCCCAGCACAGTTACAAAGCAATATAAAAGGCATCTGGAGCATCCCTGGGAGCAGACACACTCCCTGTTAGGTAAGTGCTACACTGATTTCTGTTCAGAGCTCTCCTTCAAAAGGCAAACTGAAACAGAAAACCCAAAGTTTTCCTTTTGAAAGGTTTACTTTTAGCCTAAGCTTCCATTTGTTATATTTGACCACTAATATTTCAATGATACAGTAAGGTTTATAAAATTATGTTGCTTAATAACTAATGTTCTGTACTTTTTTATTTTAGATTTCTATTTATCAGTATTTTAACTTTACAAATTGTTGAGCTGAAGTATACCCATGTTAGTAGAAGAAGACTGACTGCAGCCTTCACATAATACAATTCTGCATAAAATTACTTCTGTTACTTATTAATAGTGAATTTTTATAGTCTTAGTACAAAATTTAACAGCTAATCAACTAATAATCAAGAGAATTTATAGAGTAATTCTATATTAGCGACATGGCCTTGAACAGTTTTACTATTTATGTTTTTGTCAAACTAGTATTCTATAACAAGATAGGCACTGCATTTTTTTTATTTATGGACTAATTGAATTGCACACAGTGACATGAGATTATTTCTTTTCAGGAATGATGTCGTACCTGAAAGTAATGATCATATGGAACATACTTTGCATATCCCTGGTGCTCCTTTCTCTGTCCTTGATTCAAGAAGTGTCTTCTCAAGGTACTGTAACACACAAAGCAGAAGGGAGGGTTTCTAGGATATCTGACACACACTGAGAATGCTCCAAAAGCATCCTTACAAAAATACTAATTTCTAGAACGTTATATTTATTCAGCCAGGCAATATGATTGAGTTTTATCATCAGGGAATATTTTCCTAAACAAATTTGAGTGCAGCATGGTCCTCCTAGGAGGAATTGCATAAAAACTTTCGTGTAATGCAAACTGCATATGAACCAGTTTGTTTTTCTGTAGACATATTCTACAGATCCCATTGCCCTCAGACTGACATTTTTAGCCCCTGTGATTTTGCAGGATAATTCAAGGAAAATCTAAAATGACAATATCCACATAAGTTGGTCAGAAATATTTCAGTAGGCTCGGGGAGAGGAATGTCTCTACCTTGCTAAGTGCTTTGCTATTAAATGCACTGTTATTACCACCACTGAGGCAATTTTGGGAATCATTTGTCTAATGATACAGATTTTTATTTACTCTCCAAGCTCTATAATTGGTTTCTTACTAAAGTTGCACTGTTGTGAAGAAGCAGAACTTGCAGCCTGGCCAGACCTCTGCAGTTCTCAGGTAGCTACCAAGCTGTTATGGGGATAATATTGTGTATTCCTTGCTGGTTGAAAATAATTTATTACTACTTGCTAGCAGAAGGGACAATATTGTGTATGTGAGCAGCTCACCAGGGCACAGCAGATGCCAGATGTGACCTGCTGGGCAGAGCAGGCTGACACTGAACCTTTGCTCATTGATGGGAGCCTTCCCATCAGCAAAAATCAAGGCTCTCACCAACAGCAAACTAAACCATTCAGGCATTTTCCTTAGGAGTAACTCTGTACCTTACAAGTCATAAACTAAACTAAATAAGTGAATGAAGAGGTATAGTATTTTGGACTTTCTTTCTTTCCATAAGGGAAGAAGGGTGCAATTTGTAGGGCACATATCATAAAGGAAGGTGTCCATCTTCTTTTTTTAACTCCTGTATTAAGGGCCCATTAACTCCAGTCCACTAATGTCTCCAGTTACTCCCTAGTCCCACTTTGCTGTTTGCAAAGAAGTGGTAACAAGCATTATAACTACTTGTTGAAAATCACAATACATGTAATTATTTGTTATCCCGTGGTCTTCCTTCCTACACACAGCTGTGGAGCGTGTGCTGTTAGAAATTGTCTTTGGTGTTGTGTTACATGTTATTTGTTGTTATTTCCTCGTGGTTCCTCAATGTTTCAGCTGATTATCTTGACTCTGTTTGAGCTTGCTGATTGTTCAGCTTCTTTGTTTGTATTTAGGGACTCTTCACTTGTGGCCCTGCATGTTTCGTTTCCAGAAGAAGCTGTTAGCATGTCACGTTAGCAGAGGTTTTGCACAGGAAGGGGATTAGTTGCAGGGTGAATATCTGGCAGTAGAAGGTAGCAAAGCACTGCCAACCTTGAATGCTCACAGTTTGAAAGCAGAACTCCTGATGTCTTGCTTTTCCAACTGTAATCTGCACCATATATTATCATCTAGCATTTGCCAGCACTGCAGCAGTCTGGCAGTAAAGCCATCCTGGGATGAGCTTTTATATTGGTCTGCTAATAAGTGATCTCTTAATTAACAAACAGACAGTACTTTGGAGAAGGCTGCAAGACTAGATCCCAGCTGTTCCTAACCTCAGTATTGATACCAAATTCTCTGATAGCAGGGAAAAAACAGAGTGCAGAGGGTAGGCAGACTTCAAAACTCCCAGCAGAAATGGCTCTGGGGATTTGTATTTATTATGACAGTGCTCTCCAGCTTGCAAGCTAACCAGATTAGGTTTGGTTATTAGGAAGAACGTTACCAAAAGTAAAAATCAGACCCCTAATGGGTCTGCCAGGGAGACTTGTGCACACTCCCACCTATAACCATAGGTAGGGTGAATTAAGATGGAGAATAAGTCAGCAAAGCAGCAAAGGGCCTGGCTGATGTGCTGCCTAAGGTAAAACTGCACAGGCTGGTTTGGATGCCTGTGGCCATGCTACAGAACCAATCCCCAAGGATTCGTTAGTTTTCAGGAGAAACAGGGTAAGCCAGCCCCAGGGGAACGCCCCTCTAACCTGAACACATGCTCCTGCTGGTCCACAGGCTGGCTCAGAGCAAACCTCTGCTCCACACACCTTCAGCAGGGGTCACACCAGGCCCTCAGTTCCTGCAATACCGAGGGAAGAAAGCACATCCTGTAGGGGAAAAAGAGAGGCTTTACTCCCTTGCAGCCCAGCATTCCCTTAGGCCCCACTGTGGTTTGGCAATTCTTACACCAGTGTTGTGTGATTTTAGATGTGTCGAGCTGTACAGGGAGATGTGGGGCAGGGTATTCTAGAGAGCATGACTGCCAGTGTGATTTTAACTGTCACCACTACATGGAGTGCTGCCCTGACTTCAGGAAAGTCTGCACTGTGGGTAAGTTCCCAAACACAGCCAGTTCCTCTCCACAAAATCCCCCTCCCAGCTCCCCACTGCACCAGGTCTCCTCTCTGAATGCTTCAATGTCTGTTAGTTGGCTGTGTCCTTGTTCCCTCTCATACATGTGTTGTTCTCCTCCTCAAAAACTCAGGGATAACCTCTCCAAAGAAAATTGTGTATCCACAGGTTACTCCCAAGCAAAGGATTATGCTTTTTACAACAGCAGAGTTAGGCAAGAGGGGGTGAAACAGTTTACTGCTTGTTTTTTGTTCCTTCGTGCATTTGTACTCTATCTGTCTGTCTTATTAAAGAAAAAAAAAAGTGGTAAAAGCAAATTCAGGGTTTTGCAGGGAGAAATTCTGGCACATTCCAACTCAAATTTCAGAAGTGTGAATGCTGTAGGGTCTAACCCAAAGCCAGAGGATGTCCTTCCATGGACAGAAATTGACTCTGGATCAGAACCTTGTCCAGAGTTTGCTGGAAAAGACGGTTGGATGAGTATTATTTTATGCTTTATATATTTACAAAACCATACAGTGTAAATAAAGACAGGTATTGTTTATTGAGAGTTAAAAACCATTTTCTTGGGAAGCACCAGTGTCAGAAATATCAGTTATTTGGATAACTGCAGTTTGTTACATTACACTGTAGTTCCAGTAGGGTTACAGGGTGACATAAGACTTCTCAGATCCAGCAACATGGGTCGAGGTTTGTTCCAAATGCAGACACAGCACTCCCTAAAATTCCAGTTCTGCTGCCCTGACACACACTGGAAACACTTTGTGCTTCAGTGCTCCCCATCCTCATTTTGATTTGTGAGGGAACATCAGCACTGCTCGTAGCTGAAAGTACATACTGAGGCGCTTTATTATGTAAGCTATTACTGTGGGTTGGATTCTAAAGGTCCTCTGGCATCTACATAACATTTAATCAAATATTTAAGGCTAAAAGTCTTCCCTGTTCTACCCTAAGTCAGTGAGTTCAGGCAAGCACAGCAGGTGTCATCCTGAAAGGATGCAGGAAGTTCGACTAAGGATTGCTGCCCAGTTAGTGTGGCATCAATGCTGATCAAATTAGAGAAATGCCAGACACCATTTATGAACAAAACCTGCCCTAAGATCATAAAATAAAAACAATTCTCACCTGTGCATGTGGAATGAATCCACTGACATCAACAGACTGACTCCACATTTACAGTAATCAAAAGATGCTCAGAATCCGCCTACAAATTAATCCTCTTTTGCTAGATAGTGATTTAATTGTAAAATGTGATTTTGTGCCCTGGGTGTCACAGAGACAATGACTTCAATAGGGATTTATGTGCAGAAAGTACTTTTTCTGAAGTCTGTAATAGCTGTGCACACTCTTTCCAAAACAATTTGGTCATTCTTTGATATGAAATAGAAGCACTGTAGTGACTGAAGTTGTCAGAAGTCAAGCAATAATGAAATATTAAACCCATGTGGGTACTAATCATGTCAAATCATGGTAGATACTCCTTCAGCATTAATAATTTAGGAACTGTGTTAAACAGTTCTAGTCACTCTGGGTGCCTTAGTTAACTCATTCCCACAATTAAGCTGCAGTACTTGGCCAAGGCACACCAGGTACACTTGGCTGTGACCTGATTAGGCCAATTATTTTTCAGAAATGCTTTGACAGACACATCACTCTTGATCCAAAGCGGTACCTTGATGAACAGCTTTTTGCAAACCTAACCCAGAATTTAAATCTAATTTTGAGGTCACTGCTACGGTGGGACCTGGCTAAAGTGAACATGGGCATCACGTTTTATTGCACCACAAATTTGAGTGGTTTCAACGCACTGCAGTGTGACAGCACAGTTCTGGCTGCACGGCCTGATCCAAACCCCACAATTCCACAGACAAATCCTGGATCAGACCAGAATGAGCACCTGATTTTATGGGGCTCTTCTTGACACCATCCAGAGCAAAGGGCTTCACTGTAGAAAGGTGCCAGCGTTCAGCATGAGGTAGGCAAACACCCTGACTGTGCTGCTGTGCCTCGTGCAGGACTCTCCTGTGAAGGACGGTGCTTTGAAGCCTTCCAGAGAGGGCGGGAGTGTGACTGCGATGCCGACTGCGAACGATACGGCAAATGCTGCCCAGACTACGCCAAACACTGCAAAGAGGGTAAGAAACTGCTTCATCACTGTGTTTTTCGAAGAGATCTTTAAATAGAGGCGCTTTGCTTCCTCAGAAAACAAACTCTGCGGGCTTCTTAAGACGTGAGAAGTTAAGGATGACAAAAAAAAAAATACTGAAAAAATATTAAGATCTAATTTCAAAGATAAATTGGCCAATATCAGAAAGGATATTGAGGTGCTGGAGCGGGTCCAGAGAAGAGCAACAAGGCTGGTGAAGGGACTGGAGCATAAGTCCTATGGGGAGAGGCTGAGGGAGCTGGGGCTGTTTAGCCTGGAGAAGAGGAGGCTCAGAGGTGACCTCATCACTCTCTTCAACTACCTGAAGGGAAGTTCTAGCCAAGTGGGGGTTGGTCTCTTCTCTCAGGCACTCAGCAATAGGACAAGGGGGCACGGGCTTAAGCTCTGCCAGGGGAAATTTAAGTTGGATATCAGGAGAAAATTCTTTACAGAGAGAGTAATCAGGCATTGGAATGGGCTGCCCAGAGAGGTGGTGGATTCACCATCCCTGGAGATTTTTAAACGCAGACTGGACGTGGCACTGAGTGCCATGATCTAGTAAATGGACTGGATTTGGACCAAGGGCTGGACTCGATGATCTCAGAGGTCTTTTCCAACCCAATCGATTCTATGATTCTATGAATTTCTCAAGCATGGATGCACTATGGACACATACAGGTAGATATACTGGAAACCATCACCAAGACATGAATATGTTTAATTTCATCATGTCCTTAAACGTTTTTAGGTCTACCTACAGACCTGGATTCATTTCTGTGAGCACACCTGGCAGATATGCCTGGCACTGGGTCACTGCAGTCACAGACCAGACAACCTCCATGGCAGCCAATTCCCAAAGCCTGCGGCGTGACAAACAGCCGGAGCTAGGGATTATCATTTGGTGCACTGCACCCACCACTCCCAGTCCCTAGGCACTGGGACAGTGGCTTGGCTTTGCCATGCAGTTACACAGTAATTTAGACTGAAACAGAGTCTGTATTCAGCATTTTTGACTGAATGTCTAGAGGAGGATGAGTGTCTTGGAAGTGTCTTGAGGTGAATTTCCTGCCTTCGAAGTTGTTTAATGTCTCCCTCTTTCTGCCGAGTTTAACACACCCAAACACTCACAAAAGGATATTAAATCATTTTTCTTTTCTTCAGTCAAATAGAATGAAAAATTAAGCAACTGTTCCTAAACTCAGAGAGTTTCTTCTGTATTTTATTAAGCTCTAGTATTAATTTTTTTTTAAAAAAAAAAAAGAAAAAAAAACCAACAAAAATTCCTCAAAGCCAGCCTACCACTGTACTTAATATTTGAGTATTTATATTATGTGTGAATAACTGAGAAACCTGCTAAACCTCTTGGAACAGATTTGCTGTTTTAGCATCCTCTCAACATTTTGTTCTGTACAGCAGAGCCAAGTGTACATCATCTATCTAGATATCACCATTACCTTCCCTACCCTCCAGAAGCCCCTTATCCCCTGAAAACACACATGCACAGCTAAGGACTAACCAAAGCATTCCCCTCCACCACTACTGACTGCTCTGAAAGCCAATTCAGCTCCCTAAATGATTTTATTCAACAACCCCAGTTTTTCTCCCTCAATAAAAGCTTCAGGATGTAGTCCAACACCCAACCTTCCTTGCTTGGAGTTTGCTGTGAAAACAAATCCTTTGACACCATGGTCATCACTTTGAGACAAAAAAATCCCATTCATTTTGTCAAAAGCTGATTACACACACCTCTGGCAGTTACCAGCTCCTTCAGCTGGGTAAAAAAATTCAGCTGGATAAAAAAATTCAGCCAGTTCCCTGAGCTCCAGCACACTTCCTTCACAACTAACAAGTTGTACAAGCCTAAGCTAGTAGCTCATTTCCAATTGTACAGTTTGACCCAACAATTAATTACAAAATGTTATCTGGCTCTTACTGGCTGCAAGTGAAACCCCACACACTTTTCAGAGCTGGAAAATCTGAACACAACTCCCTGTTTCTCCTAAAACTCGGCCTACTAGAAGTTAGCTTAATACTGATACCTTGTGGTTTTTTTTGGTCCATGCCTGTCTCCTTCAAGAAAACTATTTCTATTGAGATGTCTCTCCAAAAAGATCATTTGTGTGGAATTATCACATCTGAAGAACTACAATGTAACTGAATCTTTAGGGGATTATCAAAGTAAATGCTTGGCTAACATGACAACTCTTCAAGTTCCACTATAGTGACTTAGTCCCAAGTCATCTGTAGTCAAAAAAAAAAAAAAAAAAGGCAAATTTTCAGAATGTAGAACTCCATTCAGAATTCACCTTTCTCCCACCTCAAAATTGCCATTAGCCAAGAATGCCTCACCTCAAATTTCTGGGTAAAACAACACTCCCATATGTGATGAAACATTTGGGGATCCAAAGGGTATTTTTGCACTTTTTCATATAAATAACAGTGTAAAGAGTCCTGTAGATAGGAAGCAATTTAGATTTATATGGAAGATGGTCACTGCCATTTTGTAATCACTTTCTTCTCAGGCAGTTGACACCAAGTACCCACAAAGAAAAACCAATCTGTTAATGGGAGTATTTCTCTCTTTCAGCACACACAGCAAAGCCAGCCCCGGAGACTCCCCCAGAAAACAAAGCAACATCTAAAAGGTCATCCACAGATGAGGAAAAGCCGCCAGAGGAAGCTGTGGAAGGTAGGCAAGGGTATGGATGAAACAGGATGGGCGTCACCTGAAGGAACATTAAAGACCATTTTCCTGCTCTGGAAATAGGAAGCCAATCCTAGACATTACCAGACAGTTACCAAGCTTGGAACCACTCGGTTTATAAACTGATTACCTCACCGAGCCCTCAGGATTTCGGAGAGTTCACCCAGCACAGATGGTGGAGTGTGGGGATGTCTCCGCTGTCTCTGATGGATTTTCACACACATCTTCCCAAAATGTGTAACAGACCACTGTCAGTTTTGGACAAGGTCCATGGCTGGAACAGGAAGGGTGTTGTATTTTGGGACAGTGATGAACTGTCAGGACCAAGACAGGAAAATGTCCTAGCAGGTTTCTCTAGCTTTAATCAAGCCAGGCCTTATGCAACTTCAGAGACACTTCATTTGTTTTTTCTGACTGGAAAATATGTTGCTTTGCTGTGTTCTCTGGTATTGTGTTTCAGCATTTGAAGTGATAACTCAGGAGATCAGTTTGAACTTGAAACCTAAAGTAACAGGAATGAAACAAGACCAGAAGTCAGTACTGGCTGGTCAATATTTTAACACACTCCCTTTTGTTTTTTTAATTGTTTTAAATTTGGAGTACTTATGCTTCTCCTGTTGCAATTTCCTATTAAAAAAAAAAAGATCAATATACTGGGTTAAATGAAAGAAAATTAAGGAAATTCAAATAACCATTAGCAGAATGCCAGTTGGCTTATGGTATTTCAGACTTGCTGGGTGGGAGTAAAACCTATTCTGTAATGCTCTGCTCATACCAAACACAAAACCCCTGTGAAAACAGAGCTAAACACCAAAACTTCAGAGAGAGAATACTTGAAGGTTGAAATGCAGGAACATTTACTGTTCCTTTTTGCTGAACATAAATAATTTGACCCAAGTCAATGTAACTATAAATACAAGTAAAGAGAATCTTAAAGCCATAAATCACAAAGAGGAAAACCATCCAAGATATAAAGAAACAGTAGGAGATACAGTCAGGGCTCTGTATTCAGGAATTATTTTCCTCCTGTTTCCCAACCTCTCTCCACCAAGTTCAGCTCATTGGTGTAAAGTTATGTCGAAGGACAGCAGGATAAATCAAAATAACAGACTGAGAAGGGCAGTGCCTTGTTAGAAGAACTGTATTTCACAGCATGGAAAAGGCAGGAACCACCAGGCAGCCTCACCTACAAGCACCAAACCAAACCCTGCAGCGCTGCCCCTGGGGCAGTGACAGCTTAGCAAAGGGATGACTTCAACTGAGCCAGGCTGCTGCACAGTGCCCCAGGGAACACAGGGACTCGCGTGGAACCCTGCCCAGGGGAGTTCTGCCCTTCTAAAAAAATACAGTTATTCAACAATACTACCTACTGCCCAGATGTGCAATACATTTATACACCACAGCCACATGCACAGCAATGCCAATGGCTGAAACTCATTTGTATTTATCTTATAGATCCTGGCACTGGACTGGAAAACCCAGAGACCACTCCTGCTCCAACTACAGAAGCGGCAGAGACAACCCCTGCAGCCACAGAGCCACCGACTACCCAGACAGACCCGCCCACCACCCCAAAGGAGCAGGACACAACCCCTGAGGCCACCGAGGAACCAGGGACTGAAGAAGACCCTCCCACCACAGAGAAGCCAGAAGATATGACCCCAGATGGCACCGAGGAACCAGTGACTGAAGTGGACCCTACCAACATCCTCCCAACAGAAGACGCAACCCCTGAGGCCACCGAGGCACCGACAACCGAGGCTGAATCTCCCACCACCCCAAAACCTGAGGAGACAACTCCTGAGGCAACTGAGGCACCAACAACCGAGGCACCGACAACCGAGCCACCGACAACCGAGCCACCGACAACCGAGGCTGAATCTCCTACCACCCCAAAACCTGAAGACACAACCCCTGAGGCAACTGAGGCACCAACGACTGAGGCACCAACGACTGAGGCTGAATCTCCCACCACTCCTAAACCTGAAGACACAACCCCTGAGGCAACTGAGGCACCAACGACTGAGGCTGAATCTCCCACCACCCCAAAACCTGAAGACACAACTCCTGAGGCAACTGAGGCACCAACAACTGAGGCTGAATCTCCTACTACCCCAAAACCTGAAGACACAACTCCTGAGGCACCAACAACTGAGGCTGAATCTCCCACCACCCCAAAACCTGAAGACACAACCCCTGAGGCAACTGAGGCACCAACAACTGAGGCTGAATCTCCCACCACTCCTAAACCTGAAGACACAACTCCTGAGGCAACTGAGGCTGAATCTCCCACCACCCCAAAACCTGAAGACACAACCCCTGAGGCAACTGAGGCTGAATCTCCCACCACCCCAAAACCTGAGGAGACAACCCCTGAGGCAACTGAGGCTGAATCTCCCACCACCCCAAAACCTGAGGAGACAACCCCTGAGGCAACTGAGGCACCAACAACTGAGGTTGAATCTCCCACCACCCCAAAACCTGAGGAGACAACCCCTGAGGCAACTGAGGCTGAATCTCCCACCACCCCAAAACCTGAAGACACAACCCCTGAGGCAACTGAGGCTGAATCTCCCACCACCCCAAAACCTGAGGAGACAACCCCTGAGGCAACTGAGGCACCAACAACTGAGGTTGAATCTCCCACCACCCCAAAACCTGAGGAGACAACCCCTGAGGCAACTGAGGCTGAATCTCCCACTACCCCAAAACCTGAAGTCACAACCCCTGAGGCAACTGAGGCTGATTCCCCTACCACTCCCAAACCCAAAGAGACAACTCCAGAGGAAGCTACAACCCAGGCAGATTCTCCCACCACCCCAAAACCTGAAGACACAACTCCAGAGGAAACAACAACTAAGGCTGACTCTCCCACCACCCCCAAACCTGAAGAGACAACCCCAGAGAAAACAACAGCCAAGGCAGACTCCCCCACCACTCCCAAGCCTGAGGAGACAACTCCAGAGGAAGCCACAACCAAGGCAGACTC